ACTCGTTCTTTCTGCTGTTTGACTGAGTTCACATAGGACTTCTCACGCTCCGATTCAACCATTGCATTTATTTTAGGTTTAGTGGGTTTCTTTTTAGCAAGTTCCATTGATGCAATGTCCTTACACTTCTGATCTGACCCCCTTGTTTTTCTGTCGTTATCAAGTTTGAGATTTGGAGGTGACTCTGATTCATTTTCTTGTTGGGTGTGCCCATCTGAGTACAGACATGCAGTGGTATACATAGAGAATGGGTCAGATTCAAATGAGTCCATAGTGGGATTGGCAAGTTTCAAAGATGATGCGAGTGTGCTGATGTCCTCTCCTGCTCCAGAAACAACACAAGGTTCAGCTAGAAGATAAAACAAAAGATGAAGAGTGAGTCATTGTTTTTTTGTATCCTGCATAGAATTTTTTTTTTCAAAAAGGCTGTGATTGGCTGAAGGCAACAAGACCACTTGAATAAATTTTAAAACACAAACTTCATAATAAGAGAGTAACATTTTGCTCATGTATGTTACACTGGAGTAAATAAACGCATGTATCGGTAAATTATAGATTAATTTTGAATTATTTCATGCAGTGACATCACAGGTTTGGTGGATTAATATACATGAGTACCGGTACTTTATAAAATGTTGATGCTAGCGGCCAAGCCAATTTAATCATCATTTTTGGATATGAATGAAACTGATTTTAAATGAAAACATAAATATAAATAAAACAGTTTATAAATATTTGTAAAGTATACACATTTGTTGACTTCAATGTACACAATTTGTATACATGTATTTAGTGGCAAAATCTGCAATGAGTAATTGTGTATTGAAGGTACAACTCATTTCCTGCTTGTAGTAAAATTTAGTGAGATATTAATAATATCCCAAAATTCCAGTGTGAAACAGTTCAAGAGAAATGTGTGATTGTTCATTTCAGCGGCATGATTTGATTTTCATCATGCACTGTTGCTGCATTCAATATTAACAAAGGGACATCTGTAACACAGTCAATGATGTCTGTACATGGTGTTACAGATGAAGTCTGCCAGATATAATCAACAATATTGCACTACTCACTGCAATTGAGAAACAAGAATTCAAGCCATGAATACTGACAGGTGTATATATCAACATAGATTGAATTACTGTCTAAAAGTTGAAGATTATCATAGATGAACTTGGCCAAAACTGATTCTGGGATAACCACCAAGACACAATTACATTCAAAGACTCATAAATTGGTGCTATGAAAGAAAGTGTAATACATTTATCAGTTATTAAACGAGCTATGTTTTAGAATTTTAGGAGGTGACTTGTTGGTGACATCACGATTTTAAAATTGTGTGCAAGGACCAACTAGATTTACAGCTCTGGAGAAGGTTAAAAGGCAATGGGTGGCTAATATTAAAAAATTTTAAATGGCTTTATGTCACTGCCACTAAATGATACATGTGATAAAACAAACTTACATCTCCTGACCATCATCATTTTAGGAGGTGACTTCTTATTGGCTGCAGTAGTGGATGACTTATCAAGATATCTGGCTAATTTCTCTTTCATTGACAGTGGATTTTCATCTGGTGACTATGAAAACAAAAATAAACATTAGACAGAAATTAACTAAATCTCAGACCATCAGGAATTCTTGTAGTGGAAATTCAGTGTTGACCTATCATCTACATCCTTGTTATCGTAACTGTCCTATCATAATAAGCTTTTATCTACTAATCGCATTCTGGTAACATGAAACTTTCCTGCCTGAACTTGGTCTATTTAAGTGACTGTCGTTAGCCTTGTACTAGTAGTAGCAATAAAGTGTTCAAGATCAACCCAGTTGTTGTGTTCAGCATATCAAACTCTAACCCCACAAAAACTTTACATTGTATAGCAGATCTACTGTTAAATCAAGGAAGGTGACATAATTTGTGGATATTATATATTGTTGCAAAGAGTTTAGAATTTTTTTAAAGAAAATTCTAGGTCTAATATGTCTGAAACAATGTAAGGAAAGCAAGGCTTTCAAGTTATTTCAAATTTCAGAAACTCACCTTGTTATTTGCCCAGATTTGTGCACTCTGGACTCTAGTACCAATTGGTGAAGAGACTCCACTCTGAATGGCTGAGTCACCATAGCCTGAACTGTAATTGGACCATTTGGAACTACTGAACCAATCATAGTCCTTGTTAGAAGGAGGGCTGAGTGGTCTGCTGCTAGAATCATCAAGCATGGAATGCAATGCTGAATCAAAAGTTCTAGATTGTAATGAAAATTTATGTGGATCAAATGTAAATTTGTTTTCATTTTGAACATAGTCACTTGGGGTGTAAGTCATCTCAGAATCTTTGCTTTCATTTGGTTTGTTATCCTTTGGTAAGTCTCCACTATTATAAACTTGTTTCTTTTGGGCTGACACCATCATATTAGGAACTTTAGCTGGCGTGTAAGCAAATGTATTATCAAAAGGTGACTTTTTGGGAGTTTTCTCTTTATGTTCATTTGCTGAAGTAACAGGTGTACTCTGTGGATAACTGTCTTCAATGTCTTCCACAGTAATGTTCTGTGGTACATTCTTTGGCTTAGTCACATTAGTTGTGTTAGTAAATGAGGTTCTCTGTTGGGAAGGTGTTGTAAATAATGACATCTCTTGTTCTGTATCACCTCCCTTATCAGCATATTGCATTGATAATGTTCTCCTTGTTGTGTTTGTATGTGAAGCGCTTGTAATTGGTGAGTGTGAGAGTTCTGATCCTGTGTGTGTGTATTCTGATGTGCCAGTATTTGGAGAAAATTGTGATTCCTTTTTAGCTGAGCTTGGTGTTGAGCTCATCCATCCAGACCTTTCAGGAGTTGATGTATTTGAAGGGCTCATGATGTTACTATCCTGTTGTGCATGCCAATCCTCAGTGACAACCTCACTTGAATGTGCCCATAACCCATCACTGCCAGATGATGAGGGATGACTGCTGGGTCTTATTTGCCTCTCTTCCTTGGACTGTTTGAGTTTGTCTTTGAATTCTGCTAGTTTTTGTCTGGTCTTAGCTTCTTTGATAGCAAGGTGGTTGGTGACTGACTGTATTCGTTGATGCTCTATAGTTGCTTGCATCTGATAAACAAAAGGAAAACATTCATTAGTCAAAACCAGCTCTTCAAACAAAAACTATTATGTGAGGTAAAAGAAGCCTGCATATATCAATCATGGTTGGATTTCTGTGGAAGAATAACTGATATGCAAATGAGCTCCAATATTTATATGTTTATTTCTATTTAGTTACCCTGGTATAGTGTATCCTAATTCTGTGGTATCCACCATTTTTTGCATCCTACCTTATTAGACAATGTAATTTTCAACTGAGGAATAGCAAATTAAGGAAAATTATTATCCAAGGTCACTCAA